CCTTGAGAAGGGCTTGTTTTGACTTTTGTCGTCCCTACAAACAAGAATTCGAGGAGCTCTAGCTTGTATATAGTGTTGCAAGTGAACCAAGCTAACACGAGGAATGGAAGAACAGCCCTTTTGCCGTCCCTACAAACAAGAATGCGAGGAGCCCTTGTATATAGTGTTGCATGTGAACCAAGAAAAAGTTTCCATTTCAAACCTTCGTTTTAACTTATGTTCTTGCTCACACAATTTACATGCCATCGAGAATCTTGAATGTTTTCATGGTTCCTCTTACTCTGCATCAGTGCTTCGAGCACTTCGAAGGAGGCATCGTCTGAAGTTTTCAACATTAAAAAGCTAAGTCTGGCAATGCCAATTATAAAGCCAACTCTTGCAATGCAGGCTGAGAGGTTTCAGAAGCACTCATGGAATTTACAATCCTCAACCGTCCATGTACGCCGGCACTCAAACGATATGCTTGTTCTGAGTTTATGTTTAGATTACATCCTAGAATAAATCAGAACTAGAAACGAACAGGTGATAAAGCAAGCAAGACAACAATTTCGATGGTTTTTGGATTGGTAGTTGGTGCATGTTGCCAAAAGTGCTCAACAATTTAATCCTTGTAAGTCCTGGTTGACTGATGCTACTCATGGTTTGAACTTGAATTTATCTTTCAAGAATTGACCTCTGTTACCTTTCACATGATCTCCACACTACTAGTTTAGAGTTGGTAATATAAAGGGTAAGGGGCATCTTACATGAAATGATTGGGTTTCTGGTGAAAACAGGTATGGACTGAAAAGCTAGTTTGGCTTTGACCGTTTCTTAGTGATTTGGTTCAACTCCAATATTAAAATCTGACAATTGGACCGGTTAAGCAATCATATTCTCCGGACTAATCTATGCATCACAGTGGTGGGAAATTGTTTTGGGGTAAGAGAACACCCCAAAACCTTCCAGGCAAAAAAGCAAAGGGGGAAAAAATCACAATTTTTTTTGAATTATACCTACCGTGGCACATTTACTCTGAGCTTTTTTTGTGATATCAAAAACCCCAAATTATACCCATCATGACACATTTACTATAAAAAAACCCAAAACTTGTACTTATTTGACACATGTACCCTCTCTCAAAGTTCCGTTAAATGATTTTTCAGCCCAAAACAATGTCGTTTTTATTTCACTTAAGTCACGTGGGTGCGTCAACACTGTTTGCTTTATGATGTCCATGTAAGCAGATTTTTAACAGTTCTCATTTATGGAACTTTGACGAAGGTAAATATGTCACACTGGTACAAGTTTGGGATTTTTGGTATCACAAAAAAGAGTTTAGGGTAAATGTATTACAATAGACATAATTTAGGGTTTTTAGTGGCTTTTGCTCAAAGAAAAATTGATTGCTTTGCAAAATTTATTTTTAAACAACATATCATATTTATGCCTAAGCTTAGTTTGGATAGCCACTAACTTAGTGACAAATATAGGCTTTGGCATATTCTCAGGACAAATAGGCTCTTTGCATGAGTGAGCATCTTCATGGGGAGGAATTAGAAGAAAAAGCTGGAAAAACCATAAATTCTTGGAAAGCTTTTTCAAAAAATAAAAATAAGGAGAAAGAATAAAGGGCAAATACCACAAAAAATTCCAAACAAAAAACTTAAACTTGCCCACTGTGATATAAATATCCCTAACTTTTTTTGTGTCACAAAAAAACACAAACTCATACATGTGTGATATATATACTCTATTACAGTTCCATTTTGAGTGTTCAGGGTTTTTAATGATAAAAAAAGTTTGGGGTATTTATATCATAGTGGGCAAGTTTAGGATTTTTAGTGACATAAAAAAAAATGTTTGGGGGTATTTGTGCCACGACGAGCATAGTTTAGACTTTTTTGTGGTATTAACTCAAGAATAAAACAGGTAAAGAAACAACAGGGTGAAGCATCATGGGAAGAGCATTACCAGACCGGAGCATATTCTTGCTTTTAAATTATATTAAACAAAGGCAAAAAGCAAACACTCCACTAAGAGAAAGTTGCATGGAGTTCATCCATCCCCAACTTGTTAGTCACCAATCATTCTACCTGATATTTAAAATAATTCCAAAATAAAGGGCTTTTCCTCAGTGGGCATTTTCCTTTTAAAGCCAACTCAAATTTTTATTCAAAAGCTCATTCTCTCAACCCCACTCTCAAAAGCTTATGCCTTTAAACCCAATAATTGAGCTTATCAAGCAAGAATTTTGAATGGAGAAAAACCAATCACATTCTAGATCGTCCCATGTATTGGAGAAAATGTTGGTTAATCCACTAAGAAAAACTCATTAAGTGTTGTCAGTTACTCTCAAATCCCTTATCTGCTTTGCTGCATAATGTGCAGTCCATTTGGCAATCTTTACTCTTGTTGCTTCAGAAAATCTTAAGTGCTTATTGGTGCAACAAAGGTTCTTGGTTTTGTTTGGTTCTTTTGCTTATGGAGATGATTTTGCAGAAAGATGCCACCTTATCAGCATTCAGCACCAGTGTGGGAGCAAAATAGTGCAATTCCGGTCTCGTCTTTCTGTTTGCTTTTTGAATTCGGGTGTACCCTTAATAGTGATATTAAATCAAAGTTAACTCCTTTTAAAGAGATTCATTCTTTATTCCCGTGATTATTGGCCTATACCAACCTTTTAACTATGCCTTATTCTAGAGAACAAAACTGTCCTTTTTAATTGCAGGAATGAACTGATTGGGTTATCAGGTTTGCATGTCGTCTACTTAGAGGCCGCATTACGTGTATCACTAATCATTAAGACCTAATGCTTCTTAATGACTTGCTCTATGCACTTGACTATAGCAATCACCAACCAATTAATATTGGAAGAACCCCCTTCTAAAGTCTAATTTTCATGATATGACACATGGTAAATCAGGCGTGTGAATCACTCTCCACCCAGATGGAGACAGTGCATATACTTTGAGGTTTCTAATTTGACATCGACAAGGATGTTTTGTGCCCCTTGTGATGGTATTGTGCTTGAAGCTTTTCTGAGACCACAAGGTTCCAGCACTTACTGCAAAAGATAGGTTTTTTTTTTTGTGTCTTGATTATGCGGCATAATGGAGTCAATTTTATTACCAATCCACCTAATATATTCTGCCATAAATAAAAACACTTTACAGCCCACTCAGCTCAAGTACACCAGGCCTTTTAAAGAAGTGGGATATATTGGCATCTGGGCAATCAAAGGTGTCTGTATGTTTCCCACTTTTCTTTCCATTATTCTAATGTTGCTTGAATGAGCAGGTGAAAAATTAGCAAGAATTTGTGAGTGAGTGCAGAGACCTGAGCACATGTCAAATCTGCATTAGTTCAGAGCAATGCAAAGTCAAAAAGAGGTCACCCAGAAGTGCCCTCGATCTTTTTAATTCTTCTTCACCAATTGAGCCTCCCATGGCTTCAAGTTCAGGTGGTTCTAGCTTGTGACATGTTTCCTTTCTTATCGGTGAAGAAAGGAAGTGCATTTCTTAATCATCTGACAAAGGCGAAGAACCATATTTTAATCTCAATCTTTATATATGAAACATAACATCTACGATGAACGTGTCAGTTCATCAACTAAAGGCGATGCTGGTGCGCGACTGGATGCTCCGTGTTCAATTTTAGGTCTCGTAGTCTTGCTTGGCTTAATAATGCAGAGATAACTTGCCTCGCCATTCAGCACGAAAATCACGTCTAAGCAAGAAAAATTCATTTGGGCCAGTGTTTGATGATCAGGTGGACTTCTTGACACTATTTGAGATGGTCAACTTAATGAGATGGATGCAAATGATGACAACCATTCTCGTTTTCGCTTCTATTCCATGCCTTCGTATGAAGCAGATTCAGCAGGAAGATTTGAACATGTCAGACATATTTCCTCAGTTTTCTGGATTCTCGCTCACATTTTACTCCGCCTTATGAGATTTTTTGCGACGAGATCAGCTTTGAAAAGTCTCATGAAGTTGTGTATAAAGAGTAGCAGTTTGAGAAGGAACAGAGCACTCAGAATTAGCATTTTAACAATGAATCATCAGAAGCTTCTTGGACTGTTTTTTTTAGTATAAGGCCACATGAAGATATATACCGGAGAGGTTCGTTGCAAAACATGAAGTGAAGAGGCAAAATGACTTGGACCAAGAAGATATACTCCAGAAAATGTTGGGATAAACTCAAGCTATTTGACATCAAAAATTACGTGGAAGACCATAAGATGTCAAATCTAGGAATCTAGTCCACTAGGTCGGCTTCCCCATGATTCCATGGCCACTACCTTACAAATAGTAATTTCCTTGGTTTCTTTTCTACTTGTCTGCTTAATCTTTGAGTTTGGTTCTGCCACTATGATTTTCGAGTCGACAGTGGGATGATTGTTCCCATCATTTTGCTTACACAAATTTGTAATCGCCTTCTTAATCATACAATGTTTTATATTCCTTTTTCCCCGTAAATTGTCGGGATCGGAACACTAAGAGTATCCCATTAATCATCGAACTTGACGGTCTTGCATCTCATAAAAAAGGGGTAAATATACCGAAGCATACAGATCCACGCCATCATACTTGTGTCTTCAAAAGAATGGTATACAGTATACACACTCTCTGGGGAAGAAGAGAACGAGACCTGTTCACTTAGAAACAGTTGTTACAGGTCCAAGATGCTTTCTTCACTCCGACATTCTCGCGACAATGTCATTTCTTCCAGTCAGTCTGGTCTGATTCTTCTCTCCATATAGTCCAAAAACTCGAAAGTGCTCCCTCCCTACTCTCTCTATTCCCTCGCTGTCTGTTCTGTTCTCCATAAAGCTCTTCTTTTTTCACTTCCACACAATGTCATTTCATTTTCGGAATTATACCCAGAAAGCAAAAAAGTAAACTAATTCTCGCATAGCCTCGGGGTTTTCTTCTTTTAGACTTTTCACCCTTTTGCTTTTCCGCGTTGTTCTAATTTCCACCCCTCCCATAAATTGGCTTTCGTGTAAACATTGAAGCACTCGAAATCTTTGCAGACGTACGAAATATATTGACACTAGAGATATAGAGAAAGAGAAAAGCCGAAAGGGGTGGTGATAAAAAGCTGACACGAGCCACAGGGACCGTTAGCTTAGCCGGCGCCAATATTCGTTGAGCTTCTTCCTCTTCATCTTCCCCTTATAACCAAACACCAAAACACCCCCCATTTTCTTTCTTTTCAAAACTCACCAGGCCACCCACAGATCTTTCCCACTTCACAAACACACTCCCTCTACATCCGCCTCTGGATATTTTTCCGCTTTACACAGAAAGGGTCCCTTTGTTTCTTGTCCATAGTTGTTCATACATATATAGAGAGAGAAATTTGTATCTCTGGGAAGCAGAAATTTTTTGGAGGATCTTTTTGCTAGCCTTTCCTTTTGATTGGTGATGGAGAGCAGCAAAGGCTTCTCTTCTCCTCAGAGCCACGCGTTCCCTGCCGGATTGCGGGTTCTCGTCGTCGATGACGACCCCACATGGTTAAAGATCCTCGAAAAGATGCTCAAGAAATGTTCTTATGAAGGTAATGGTTAGGATAGGGAGTTCCAATTCTTGGTTCTTGGTCATCTGTTCTTTGCTAGATTCTGCAATAATCAAGAATTATCAAGCGTTTCTTTGTACGTAATTAGTTGTTCAATTTAGCGTTTCTGGGAGGGAATTCCTATAACCCTCATTAAAAGCCTTTGGATTTGGAAGCTGCAGTGTACATATGCATAAGGCTCAGAAAGGACAACGCTTAGCCTAAGGATGATGATGCTAGTCCAATTATTTATGCCGGGTTTCATTCCTTTGCTTTGGAATTCAGTCAAAATGAGATTCGTTTGAGTAATTGTTCTTGGTATCCGATGTTTGAATGGATGACTTGACAGATAAATATGTGAACCAAGGGTCGCTTGTTCAATTAGCAATGAGTAGATGCACGTATAGAGAAGGAAAAATGTCCTTGTTGACTAGGAAAAGTATGTGTTTCATGATTTCAACAGCTCGAGATGGGCTCGAAGGTTGCGAGCTGCAACCCTATCCCTTGGTTGGTTATTTAGGAGCTAAATAGTCATGGTTGAAGACAGTTAGAAAACTGTTTCGACAGAAGTTCTTAAGCTTGGTAAAATATGTGAAGTGCTTCCATCAATTCCTATTGCCCAGCAACCTAGTCTTTCTGACAAAAGTTCCATGCTTTAAATGTAAGTGGTTATGATTATATGTTCGTACACACTAGATACATATTATGAGTAAAGATACGCATGTATCAAATCGTTGAGCGCCTTTACGAACGCAAAAATCCACTAAATTTGACGCATTCTTTTGGAGTTGTTAATGCGTGTACTTACACATATGTCTGAAGAGTGCTGTGCATGTGCTAGTTAGTCATTGAGGTAGAGTTTGATCTATAGATACTGTGAAATTAATTGCATCTTGCATGATCTTGGGCACCCGAAACTTTAACAATCATTAGTTCTCGGGGACAATTGTGTTTAAGGATATTTGACAGTTTTCTGTTCATCTTTTAAACTGGCTCATGAAATGGCTGATGGATTCTAATTCATTAAGAGATTCTGAACTTATCTGTCAACTGAAAGACCTCGTGCATGATTGATTTGGTGTTTGTGATTTCGTTTATGACTACTCAATAGTCGCTCTTACATTCAAAGGACAAACCTGAACTTTGTGCCCCTTATAAAGGCTAAAGCTCTTTTTTGGTCTTGCCTAGATTGCTGCCAAAGAACTCATTTTAATTCTTAGTTATTTAATAACAATTTGTCTTGCACATTGAGATTTCGTAACTTTCTCATGTTCTGCTTCTCCTCTGTTGTGCTTTCAGTTACCACATGCGGTTTAGCAAGAGACGCCCTGAAACTGCTTCGCGAAAGGAAGGGTGGATATGACATTGTTATTAGCGATGTTAACATGCCTGACATGGACGGCTTCAAACTCCTAGAACTTGTCGGCCTCGAGATGGATCTTCCTGTAATAAGTCGGTACTTTGTCGCCGCATATGATCCCTTTTTCTCCTTAACACCATTAATATAGTCGAGAAGTACCGCTCCTTGAATTTACTACCTGAAGTATCTGAGTTTACTTGAATGGACAGTGATGTCTGTGGATGGAGAGACGAGCAGAGTTAAGAAGGGCGTTCAACATGGGGCTTGCGATTATCTCCTCAAGCCCATCAGAATGAAAGAGCTCCGCAACATATGGCAGCACGTCTTTCGAAAGAGGATCCACGAGGTAAGGGACATTGAGAGTCTTGAAGGTCTTGAAGGTCTTCAGGTAACCAAAAGCGGGTATGATTGGTTTGATGATGGGCATTTCTTTAGTGGAGAAGATATGTCGACACCGACAAAGAAAAGGAAAGACCTAGAAAATAAGCACGATGAGAAAGACTTCACCGATCCTTTGTCTTCCACGAAGAAAGCTAGAGTAGTTTGGTCTGTTGATCTCCATCAGAAATTTGTGAAAGCAGTGAATCAGATTGGATATGATAGTAAGTACTAAATTTTTTGTTAATGCATATCAAAAGCTCCTCTTTTTCCCTGACAAGCATATTGAATTCACGCACACAAGCCAATATTTCTATTCCGGAAAGGACGTAACATGTCTTGTCTGTTCCGCAGAAGTCGGTCCCAAGAAAATACTGGACTTGATGAATGTTCCATGGTTGACAAGAGAAAATGTTGCCAGCCACCTGCAGGTACATAGCTTCCCTAAAATCACACCGATGGGTCATAGACTTTACGGCAAAATTTGGCAATGCTGATGCTAGTTTGCATTATGCTCAATTTGTCTTCCTGTATCGAGGAGTTTTAGTTTATGAGCAAGTAGTTGTTATCTGTAACCGATGATGTAAACCGACTCTAAACTGAGCAAGTAATTATAGACCGCAGCTTACATTTCTTTTCTTGTTCCATTAGATTGTAAAGGCAGTGACTATTTTGCTTTATGCAGAAGTACCGGCTTTACTTGAGCAGGTTGCAGAAGGAAAATGATTTGAAAATTTCTTATGGTGGGATGAAGCATTCGGATCTAAACCCACAAGACGCTGCCAGAGCATTGAGCCATCAGAACTCCATCAATTTCCAGCAAAATGATGCTACAAATGGCAACTTGAGATTTTCGGGCAACAACTTGCTCATCCAGAATTTGAACTCCAAAAGCAATGAAATCGACGCCAGAGGGACTATAATCACCGAGAAATCTGGTACAGGAATCAGTCACTCACTCTCTCCACTGGAGAAGGAAATGAAATTCGCAGCTTTTGATGGTATTACCCCGAGATCATACCCTTGGAGAGAAGTTCCAGAAATCCAATTTCACCAAGAAAATGCTGGGAATCAACCAGAAGATTGCTTTGGCCGCATGGCTGTGCCTATGGGTGGTCTGCAGAATCATGTCCAAGTAGATCAACCACTACCCATCACGCCCATTAGTTCGAGAGCGCCTCTGACAGAATCACAACTGCCCAACCCAATTGAAACTAAGCCTTTGAATGTTGATTATGCAATCAGCAGCTTTACTCAGGCAAGTCCAGTGAAAACGAGAATCGACTCTTTTCCCGTTCCCACCAAAAGCCACACGGGAAATCAACAAGCTATTCAGCCCCCTTCCATCAACACACCAAGCATGAAAAATCAGGGCTTCAACCCAAGCTGCATTACCGATTTGGAATCTTCCCGGAGCAATATTTCTTCAACTGCCACCGAGTCCCCTTTTACATCTCCAGATGAGGTTCTACAGGTTGGATGGCTTCAGGATTACTCCACATGCCTTGGACTCCAAAACATAGAGCTTCTGGATTTCGGGGACCCAAGCATCGTAGCTGAAGTTCCACTGCACTTATACGCTGCCCTGAAGTTCGACTACGAGCAACTCTCCGACCAATCGGAGTTGCCTGTAATAAATCAAGGTCTGTTCATAGCATGACCAATGCCCTAGTAGGATCTGTCGCTTCTAGAATGTCTGCTGATGATCCGTCTGAAAGTTTTGCTTCATCTTTAAGGATTGCGCTTGTCATCTTCCTAATAAGCTTTTAGGAGATTTGATTATGGACACGTGTACAATGGTGAAGATTGGCAGATGCTAAGCTAAACGAAGCTTGCTTCTCCAAGTTTGGTCGATGTACATCAGTGCATTAGTTTCGATGTTGTGTGAAGGATAGCTAGCACAAAGGTTACATTGATGCAGGTAATGGCAAGCCTGCCCCCGGTACTTAATCTTGGACACTTCGCAATCAAAGGAAAGACATTAGAATCGTCGGAATACTTTTGCACTTCGTTCTTTTTTGCTTTTTTGGTCGCTGTCTCGCTCCATTGATCTGTAACATATATCTAAGCAAAATATATGTCATTAAGTAAACCGAGAGAAGTCTTAGGCACAAGTTGAGGAATGCCAAGATGAACTAGGATTCAACCAGAAAATACTTGGCATTACAACTCTGCATTTCGTAAATTAACAACACCATCAGGAATTATCAACATTCCAACAAACAAGTAAGTTACCAGATTTTTTCAAGTTTCCGAACATGGTTGGTAAATTTACCAACATGTGAATAATTTAGAAAATGACAAACTCCTTTGAAATTTTGATAAAATATTAGAAAATAAAGAAAAAACCTAAAAGAGAAAAAAAAAAAAAAGGAAAGAAAGAGGAGCTACAAGGATGATGGCGGCGCCTCCCACGTGCCATAGAGGGCCATGGAGCCTTCACCGAACGTTGCACAACTCCAGCTGCTGATAGCCGGAGCTGCACGACCCCCTATGTCGAGACCGAGTGTATTTCTCTTGATTTGTTCATGTAACACAATGATCAAGCGAGGCAGTGAGTTCCATGAGGAAAACTATTTTTTTCATCTATTTTCGAGTGTTAAGGTTGAAATCTTCTACCTCCAATTGGGAGCTTCAAAGAGTACAACATTGTAGAAAGGAAACGAGGAAGATCCAAAGGGATGGCGACAGTGATATATACAAGGTAGACTAGGGTCGCTTTATAATTAACCCTTCAATTCTTTTGATCATGTTTAGATGCTTGTGTTACCGTGAAAGTGAAAGATTTATCACGATGCCACGCATTTTTCCATGTGAAACGAGGACCAGACATCTAATTTTATGTCTGGAACATCATGTCTTAGGTCCCGCGGGTCTTGACTGTGTTAAACTGATGTCATTTTCAGACTTACATTATGTCAAGTAACATGGTCTGGAGATCTCAAAGAGACAAGAAAAAAGGGAAATCTTAATCATGTGATGATACACTAAAAGCTCTTATAATAAGTATAAGATAGCCAGAAGTTCGAGGAGAGTCAATCAGTACAAGCACAAATGAGATTGCACATGTCATCCCACAGGAAGCTTCTAGTGTAGTTTACATAAAATCGCAGTTGAACGCCAGTAATCACTGGTTGGATCACCAACTTGATCTCAAACCAAAAGTGGATCAACAAAAGCGAAGAACGTGCTGCAAAAGTTTCTATAGATACTCAATTTGACATAAATATTCTGGTGACCATTCCATGACACAAGGGTACAAGCAAGCAAATTCCAACAGTTCTTGGTCATGATTCAGTAGTGCCGGTCCCTCTTCATTCAGTGTCAACCTTGCCTCCATTCCATGATCATCTCTAGCATCTACGAGGACCTCAGCGTTCTTCAACCTCTCTGCACTTGTCAAGTTCACCCATTTTGGCTTCCCCCACCCAATGTCAGCCTCATACCATTGAAGCATGCACCAAACTGGAGCACTTGTAGACCTCCCCTATCACTCTTTGCCATTTCCCAAACTTCTTGGCAGCCTTGGAGACAGCCTGAAACCGCCCCATCCCCTCAAAGCCTCGAAGCTGAGGGCCTGTCGCTCTCGTGAGCCTTCCTCAGAGCGAAAACAAACTCTTTCAGCTCCAACTTATTGTGTGCCTCGATCCTCGTTAACAAGGACTCGACACAAAGTTCCCACCAAGTTTTCCAGCAGCAAAAGGAGCCATCCTTTTGTGTAAATTCACTGCTTGAGACATCACGGATGGCCTAGACGTGGACCCCTGACTCCTCTTTGCCACCTTCGGCGTGCACTGCCAAAGAAGAGCCGAGACAGCTTCTGTTTGTGTCACGTTCTCTATGAGCCCACGGCAAGTGCCTTGAGTTAGGCAATGCTCAAGGCAACGAAGAGGTAACTCCTTGAAACGCATTTGGACTTTGGTGTCGATTCTTTGGAGGATGAGAATTCTGGCCACGTTGAATTCAGGTCGTATAGGTGTCAGAGTGGGTTCGAGGGCCTTAGAAGCCCAGGACTTGACAAATGTGCTCAATGTGGCCGCATCGCCCAAGTTGTGAGAAAGGCATAGCCCGAGGGCCATCGCACCACACCTAGAGAAGGTGGCTTGAACTGACAACAGCCTGACAGTGGCTGCTTCCATGTCACTGGAATAAACACCAAGAAGAAGGAACTTTTTCATCATCTTGATGTTGGGTTGGTGAAGGATGCTTGAGAGTGGACATCGATGTGAGCTTCAACAAAGTGAACCCCACTAATAATCACATTCAAATGAAGAATTGTCCTTGATTCTTCCAGCGACCGGATAGAAGCAGGTTAGGGTGTCCGACAATGATATCCTTAGCCACCAAGAATAAAACTCGGGGGCCTTGGCTCGGACTCAGAGATCATGATCATCTTTACCATGTAACTTAATGTAGAAGAGAATGACAGGGACATGGACAGGTCCTGAGAGTTGGTCCAAGAGAGAGAGTCTGATACTCTTCAGGTATGGGGGAGTTGAAGATCAAGGTTTGATGGTTTGTCCAATTCACAAACTTCAGTTCCATGTCCATTAGAGGGAAGATCTTTGCCTCTTTTGTGATGTATTCAGGGATACGCGCAAGAAGTTTGATTGACAAATGGGGAGCAAGAGAAGACCTGACCAATTGTATTTAATAGAAGAAAGCTTCACGAAAGAGAGAAACAATCGAGCTAATATTGCCCGATTTTACTTTTTGCCCGTATGTAGTTAAGAGGCAAAACATGCCAACTTTTGGCCTGTTACAATTTTGACACGTTATCATATTCATGAACAGCTCGATTATACAGTACGAAGTGCAAGAATGCAGGAACATTAAGAAAATTTTCAAAAAGGCTACTTCAAGCACTTGCCCTTTGCAATTATGGCAAACAAACTAGCGAGCAATAACAGTTTAACAACAAAATCTTGAAATAGGCTTCTATTTCAAGAATCAAACAAAAACTCAGATTTGCACTTCAGAGAGACTGAATATATGATCTTGCGAACCAGTAAATGAGGTGTAGTGTGTTGAGAAAACCTCATAATATATTTTCAAGTTGACAAAACTGTTCAAGAGTTATTATAAGTCTGACAAATACTTTTGAAGAATTTCTAAGTCCAGGAAGTCATTTTCTGGAGTTTCAGACTTTACAAGGAACAAAAGGAAAAGTCTAAGTTCTACACAACAAAAGACAAAGTTCAAACTTTGTATACGGCAAATTGAAGAATTTCAATTTATATTGGAAACAAAAGATTCAAAAATTAAAGAACAAACCATTCTGACTTAAGTTCTAAAGTACGAGATAAGGATCAGACTTTATCCGGATGTTATCGCAAACTCAAAACAACGGCTTGTAATCTGACTTGGATTTCACAAATGGAAAGTATTGATTGATTCGATCTTAAAAAGCTATTTTACAAAGAATATTTACATCTTGAAATATCCTTGATTGATTGACAATCAGCCCCACGACAAGTTTATTTCCAAATGAAGAAGCTCTGCTTATGGAAACCGAAGCTCTGGTTATATGAGCGACTAGATTCAGCGGGATTCAGACTTTGTTACTTAACGGCTACTCAATCCTTTTCATACAAATTTGTCCAAGGTGAAAATTGGAAGATATCCTCTGAAAACTGTCTAGTGGCTAGTTTGAAAGTAGAAGAGTATAAAAGGAAACAAATTGTCAAGGAGCAGAAGTAGAGAGACGATATCCAGAATCATACATTCCAAAGTCTGAGCAAACTTCGACCAGTATAACTTGTCCATCTTGAGCTAATATTTGTGATATTAAGAGACTTGTTTTAAGAGTGATTGAGTGAGATAGAGTGATCTATCCTTCATAGAAAAATATCACTCAGAACTTGTAATCTCTTAATTGATTATCTAGTGAAATCCAGTCAGTAGGCTGTCAGTGTGAAAAATAGACGTAGGCTTGATCTAAGCCGAACCACTATGCATCTGTGTGCATATTTTTTCTTCCCTAAAACTCCTTTTATTTATTTAATTGCACATTTATTTGTTTGTCATTCAAAGATCGATCAAAATCTGAACATTGTTCAGCCTTTACCCATGATCAATTAATTTCGCATTAAAATTGATCAATTAGCATTCAAATCACCTATTCACCCCCTCTAGGTGATATTTGCTAGTCACATTGTAGTGTACATTGATCCACAAAATCATTTAAAGATCTCCTATGAATGTACAAAAACCTCTGTTTTGATCTAAATGGACTTCTTCCTTCGGCAAACATTTCCTCGGAAGATCAGGTTAATGCTAAAAACAGTTTTTTATTACGTCACAAGTACTTGTTTCCGTGTCACATAAAGATGATATCATGAACTAAAATGTGGATCAACACACTGCTTCTTCTCCCCACTCCAATAGAGAGTTATTTACATCTCTCTTGCTGCTACTACAGATGACAGCTAGCGTCTAGAAGCAGTTATGTTTTGAATAAAAAGTATAGACTAACCCTCTCGCACGAGGAAGAGATTACTTTTCATTATCTTCAGTATAAGTACAAGTATGAATGCAAGTTGTTAAGCGAGATCAAAATTATCAATACCGGTACCACATGAGCTAAATCACCCAGCACTGGAACTGAGTCACCACCAAGCTCAGATTCTGCACTTTGCTAAGCCTATATTATATTTCACAGGCACAAGAATTTGGATGAAGCAGCCTGTTATCTTCTATGCAGATCAGAGACAGTTAAAAGGGAGTGGCAATAAGAAAGGCCTACGACTTTTAACTTCTTCTAAACAACAAGTACATTCAGAGTCACCGGACATTAATATCCAGAATCTTGCCACTAGAATTTGCCTTGGGTATGGTTATGTACAACACTCCGTCTCTCACCTCTGCTCTGATCTTCTCAAACTCCACATTCTCGGGCAATGCGATCTGGCTGCTGTACCGCCCATAGCTCTTCGCGGACCACTCCTCTCCCTCTTCCTCCGCCACGGCATTCTCTGCGGTCCTTTTGGGCGACTTCTCCGCCTTGACCACGAGCATCTTCTCCTTAACCCACACCCTCACGTCCTCCTTGGTCATCCCGGGCATGTCGAACCTCATCTTGTACTCGCTCTCGCCTTCTTTGATCTCCCATGGCGTCCTCCCTCGGCTGTACCCGTCGCCACCGCTCGCCAGGGGCGATGGCCATGTGCCCGAGTAGTCAAACGGGTCCTCCATCATCCTCTCCATCGTCTCCATCATCTGTTGCACCGTCCTTGCTGTTGGAAACCTGTCCCATAAACCTGTCCAACCAGAAGGATTTTCATAATAATTGAGCTCACAAGTTATCTACGTCCATGAATGTCCACATCACTTATCAAACTGCTCGACATCCTAAACAACATAATTAAAGCTTTAACTTTGTGCATCTCTCTGCGTCAAATTGACTTAAATATTCAATGTCTCGGCGAAGTGCGAACTTGAGATTGCTTCGAAACATCTCTGCGAAAACGTCTGTCAAATTCACTTAAAGATTCAATTTTTTCATCGAAAGTGCGAACTTGGTGCCTAATTCCACCTCAATCGGAATGAGAAAGTGAGGGGCTTGGTGGCGGGTGGGCAACTTACCAATAGGAGCGACTGGGGCGGTTCTTCTCTGGGGCTGAGCCTGAACATGAGACTGAGGCCGGCGCATGCCGTTGGTGGCTCTCTGAAGGTGATCGAGGCTGTCCCTGCTGCCGTTCGCCGCCGTGACCCTGATCCCTCCGCAGCAACTGGTTCTCATCGGCGCGAACGCGAGAGAGCGCAGGGGGCGACGATACGAAGCAGGAGAGTTTGCTGCCGCCAATGACAGCGGCAGAGGGAGGACGGTGGGCTTGATGAGGTGGGTGCTCAGAGACCGCGACATAGTTCGGGCTTCGTTTGCGACGTCGAATGGATCAAATGCAAGAGAGAGAGAGAGAGAGAGAGAGCAGATTGCAGAGATTGATGCTGTACAAGAGACGCGCGAGAGAATTTATAAAGGAAGGAGACGGACATTCGAGAGAGATGGAGAGAGAGAGCAAGGGTGGCGGTTCTGGAACTGTCGGGAAGAAAGAGTTCGGGAAGTGTTCTCGGGTTCGTGGATGAGAAGAAGTTGGATTGCGCGGGACCACTTTATTCAAACTGACAACGACCACACCTCTCCTTCTTGTTCTTCCTACGTTCCGGTTCTAACGACTAAATTGATCATTGAATTTTAGCTTAATATATGATATGATTTTTAAATTTTTAATTTGTTCAATACGATCCATAAATTTTACCTCGATATACAATATGGTACATGAACTTTAACTTTTGATACGTGTTCAAATTAGTCCTTGTGTTCTATGAAAATGTTCAATGTTGTTAGTCCTTCTATTAATCTAACTTTAACAATTTCATATGGCCTGTGGACTAAATTGAATATGTACAAAAAATTCAAGGACCACGTTGAACAATTTAAAGGTTAGGGGACGACATTTGCACATTGAGCTAATGTTCATGAACTGTATTGAACAAATTAAAACTTCATGGACTATATAGCGGGAAAAGTACCAAAAAAGTCATAAACCTATTGCATTGGTACCAATTCAGTCATAAACATTTCAATTGGACCAATTTAGTTATAAACATTTTCACATTGGTACCAATTCAGTCCATCCGGCCAATTTAGGCCGGAAATCGCTGATGTGAACATCGGTGGTCCTACGTGGCATCGCTTGGCTGACGTGGATAAATTTTATAATTTTTTAATGGTTTTTTTTCTTTTTTTCTCTTTTCTTTTCTTTCTTTTTTCTCTTCCCAGAACTAGTTGGTCGGCTAGGTCACCGGCGACCCTCACCTGGTTTGGGCGAGGGCTGCCGTGCCCTCACCAACCATGGGTGAGGGAGGCAACGCCTCGCCTAGTCTGGGTGAGGGCGTCGCTACCTTTGCCAGCCAACAGACAAGTTTCGGCCCTCACTTGGATCTAGGCGAGGGCATGGCGGCCCTTGCTCGTGGCCGGCGAGGGCGTGGAGGTCCTTACCTAGATCGGCAATGGTCGGCAGGCGTCCTCGCCGGCCAACTAGTTCTGAGAAAAGAAGAAAAAGAGAAAAAAATAAAAAAAAACCATTAAAAAATCTGAAAAAATATTAAAAAATTATAAAATTTGTCCACGTCAGCATCGGTATCCACGTAGGACCGTTGGCATCCACGTGAGAGATATCCAGCCTAAATTGATCAGATAGACTAAATTTGTACCAATATGAAAATGTTTATGACTAAATTGGTTCAATTGAAAGATTTAGGTCTGAATTGGTACAAATGCAATAGGTTTAAGACTTTTTTGATACTTTTCCCACCATATTACAAATTGGGCCAAAGTTCAGGGACTATTTGTTTCATTTTCCCTTCTTTTTATTCTATGGTTTCTTTCTTTCTCTTTTTTCGAATATCACCCATGTCCATAAAAATGAAATGATAAAAGACATTTCTCATTTTTGTATTATTTTTTGTATTCAATTGAGTTCTTAAAAATGTTTTTTTTTTCAAATTGTCCCTTCCATTAACAAATTTAAAGGAGATAATCGATGTTGATGACAAGAGGCCATTGAATATCACACGCGCTCACACCATGTTTAACTAGACTTTTTAAAAAAGGAAAACCTAAAGCTCCCACCATGTTTAACTAGGACTTTTTCAAAAAGGAAAAACTTAAGCGGATAGGCAGTGACATGTGATAACTAGTAGCTAATTGCCCTTCTCTTTCATCCATGGTGAGGCGAGGGTCGACCATCGTCGTCGTGAGCACTCGTGAGAACCAAGGGCCATGACCGTACACTCCATTTAAGTGTGTATAGTGTGTCAAATGATAGTAGTGCATTGCGGTGATGTCGCCTCTCTTTCAATATATTTCTAAGGGAAAAAATCACCAAAAACCCCAAACTTTGCCGTCTGTGACACATTTACCCCGAACTTTTTTTTGTGACACCAAAAACCCCGAACTTTGCTTTTTGTGATACATTTACCCCAATGTATTTAGTCCATGGACATTTTCGTCTTTTCGCTTTTTTTTTTTTTTTCCTTTCCGCGAGGGGGCCTCGCCGCTGCCGGCGAGGGCGCCCTCGCGGCGTCGAGCGAGGGCGGCCCTCGCGAGATCCGGCGAGGACGGCCGCGCCCGCGTCGGGCGAGGTTTGCCTCGCCCGACTCGGTGAGGTCGACCCTCGCGGGCGTCGGGCGAGGGTCGACCTCGCTCGAGTCGGGCGAGGGCCGCCCTCGCCGCCCAGCGAGGGCGACCCTCGCCGGCGTCAGCGAGGTTCGCCTCGCTCGGGCGAGCGAGGGCCGCCCTCACCCGGATTTGGCGAGGTCGACCCTCGCCGGGTCGGCGAGCGGCCGACTCGCTCGACCGGGCGAGGGCCGCCCTCGCTAGCCCAGTGCGGGCGGACCTCGCCCGACGCCGGCGAGGGCCGCACTCGCCGGATCCGGCCAGGGCCGCCCTCGCTCGACGCCGGCGAGGGTCGACCTCGCCAGATCGGGCGAGGGCCGCCCTCGCTCGCCCGAGCGAGGCGGACCTCGCCCGACGCCGGGGGGTTCGCCTCGCCTGGGCGAGCGAGGGCGGCCCTCGCCCGACTCAGCGAGGTCGACTCGCCGACGCCGGCGAGGGTCGACTCGCCTGAGTCTGGCGAGGGCCGCCCTCGCCCGACGCCGGCGAGGCCCCCCCTCGCCGGAAAGGAAAAAAAAAAGAAAAAGCAGAAAAGACGAAAATGCTCATGGACTAAATACATTGGGGTAAATGTGTCACAAAAAGCAAAGTTCAGGGTTTTTGGTGTCACAAAAAAAAGTTCGGGGTAAATGTGTCACAGATGGCAAAGTTTGGGATTTTTGGTGATTTTTTCCCTATTTCTAATTTTTCTACATGTTTATCCAACGTCACCTTTAATTTTCTATTTGGCCAACAAATCACAATATAATTTGGAGGGCTCGATTTATGAAAAGAACATTAGAGATTGCATTGATGATGAGCTAAAAGTTAAAAAATACAGGACCATTCAAGTTAACAATGCTTCAAAAAACGTGGAGACAATGTGCCTCGTGTGATATATTTGATGAGAAAGGCATCACGAAATTGTCAAAACTTAAATTGTTATCAATAATGAAAATTTTTTTTATTAATTAATAATTTTCAGTGATACAAGCAATTATTCTTTTGAATTTTTGAATTATTTATTTTTCGTGAAACAAACGCACTTTAGATAACAATAAAAGCAATAGTGGTTATGTCAGAAATAGTTCTTTTGATTGTGTCCGTCTCTCCACACTCTCTTTCTAATTCCACGTTTCTCTCTTCCGCTTTGGCCACATGCACTCTCTCCCCTTTGCACACAAGTAATCATATGTGTCCCTCTACAAGTGTTTGAAACAGAGTCAAGTGTCGACTTTCCCATAGTTTGGTGGCAGAGCATGCATCCAGCCACCACTCAGACGTCGTCAAGCACAATCTCATACTCCAACCGAAGCACTTCAATGACAAATATGATCATTGATCCACACGCACGCACACAAGATTCAACCATCTTTCTCTTCTCACCTGAAACAACCATTGAAAGATCGATGCAGTGTTGAAAAAAGGTGAACATCAAGATGGACTGCAATGGACTCACAACCCAAATGCTCTCTCTCTTGTTCCTCTTCCTCTTCACCATCCTCATCTACATCAAACGTTCGCACAAGCACCACCATGGCGACATCTCATGCTCCCAACCTAAGCACCCGCCATCGCTGCGACTCCCTCTAATAGGTCACCTCCACCTCCTCACCTCCATGCCCCACCACACCCTCGCGAACCTCGCCCGTCAACTTGGTCCCATTTTCCACCTCCAACTTGGCCAAGTCCCCACCATCGTCATCTCCTCACCAAAACTGGAGAGACTCGTGCCCAAGACCCACGACCATGTCTTTGCAAACCGCCCCCAGCTCATCGCTGCTCGGTACCTCTCCTTCGGCTGCTCTGATGTCACCTTCTCCTCCTATGGCCCCTACTTGAGCCAGGTGAGGAAAATATGTGTGACCGAGCTGCTCAGCTCGAAAAGGGTGGCTTCCTTCCAACTCGTGCGTGCAGAGTAAATGGCTCGGTTACTTGGCCTACTGCAATCTCTCTCAGGGTCGGAGGTCGATATGAGCAAGATATTCTTCGGGCTAGTGAATGACGTGCTATGCAGAGTGGCGTTCGGGAAGCGTTTCATTACAGAGGGTTTTGAAGAGGGAGAGAAGAGCCATTTGGTGAGAGTTTTGACCGAGACTGAAAATTTGCTTGCTGGGTTCAGTGTGGGGGATTTTTTTCCTAGGTGGGAGTGGGTAAACTGGGTCACTGGTTTAGAGAGGAGGTTGCAGAACAACTTGGTGAGCTTGAGAGGTGTTTGTGATGAGATTATCGGAGACCATGTGAAGAAGAGAGAGACGAGGATCATGAGTTTCGATGCTGATGATGATAGGGAAGATTTATTAGATGTGCTGATGAGTGTACAACAGAAGGACTTGGAAGTGCCCATCACAGACGATAATCTCAAGGCTCTAGTCCTGGTAAACATTTCATCTATTCCCAAGTTTTCTGAAACGACTTGATGTTAATCACCACATCATCCATTAACTTAGTCTGTACATAATTTTCCTATCCAATGTCCAATGATGTTGGTAATGAGTATCGCGTGCTAATGAAATGTCTCTTTCCCTGATGCAACGTGAATGAATGCCCATCTGCATCGAAGACACAATAGTTCACATCACGGAATTACACGAGTCAAAGAGGATGGATTAGCATTAGCGTTAGCATTTCAAAATATACTTGAAAATCTTAACATGTCCGATGGTTTAGCAGCTCGAGGGAAAAATTATCATTGCTTAATTCGACTACTAAAGTGAGACTTCCTTATAGATTGTCATATGTCAACAGGACATGTTTGTAGCTGGAACCGATACAACGGCAGCAACTCTAGAATGGACCATGACAGAGCTAGCCAGAAACCCTAGAGTAATGAAGAAAGCACAAGAAGAAGTTCGCAGAAATGCACCCACGAGTGACAAGCTTGGGGAGAGACATCTCCACGACCTATGTTACTTAAAAGCTGTGATCAAGGAAACTATGCGGCTACACCCGCCAGTTCCACTGCTGGTTCCACGGGAATCCATGGAGAGATGCGTGCTCGACGGCTATGAAGTACCTGCAAGAACTAGGGTGCTCATAAACGCTTATGCTCTTGGGAGAGACAGCGAGTCATGGGACCGACCCCAGGAGTTCAGGCCCGAGAGGTTCGAGGGTAGTGACATTGATGTGAAGGACCAAGATTTCAGGTTTCTGCCCTTTGGGGGAGGACGAAGAGGCTGCCCTGGCTTTGCTTTCGGGTTAACAACTGTTGAGACTTCATTGGCCAAACTCCTGTATCATTTTAATAGGGCATTGCCGCCGAGCGTTAAAGAGTGCGATATGGACCTAAGTGAGATCTTTGGCCTGGCTATGAGGAAGAAGACACCGCTTGTTCTTGTCCCAACTGTCGGCCAACATCAGGTGTTCTAGCTTTTCAGGAGGATTTGCTTAAGAGAACGCAAGAAAACTACTAAGCTAATGCTGTATCATCTAGCTACTTTCAGTTAATAGAGAATCATGGACACTCTTTTGTTCTGATGTAAGCCAATGCAATTAGTATTATTCTGTCAATGCTGCCGTAACTGTTTCTACCAGTGTATAATATGCGAAGTTTGAAGTTCTTCCCAGACAAAGTAACAGAACACAGTTGTAAATTTGTAATTGCCAACAATCAATATCTAAGAAATGCTATATTTGCACTCGGAGATGTTGCTAAAGCAAATCCAGTCAGGTTGACAGAAATTTCCAAAAATTTCACAAAGCTGAACTGTGCAGAGAAATTTAATACGTATGCCTTACTTCGCCAGAATCTGTGTAATCCCTTCAGCAACCTCCATCTCAAACAAACAAAGCAGCCACATTCCAGGGATTCATTTCTTTATCTCAGCTTTTAACCCTGGAAGATCAAGGAATTGATTACGATTAAATTAATACTTACCATCCACTCTATGATTCTAAAGCTAAAGTCTGTATCAGTTAAAAGAAGTGATCAATAATGTCACATTCCAACTCACTTCTCTTTTTCTTTAGAGCTTTCCTCTGACTTGGACTCCTCACTTGTGGTTGAATTTAAGGCCGTGAGTTTCCCAAACGATTCCTTAGCATCCCCAAAGAAGTCCTTTACTTTATCGAGCACAGTCTTCAGCTGGTCTTGTGTTGGAAGCTAAAATTGCAGAGGGAAGAGTGGACATAAGTTTCAGTTAAGAAACGACAAACCATCCACCCCAGATAAAACAAGAGTTATACGCAAAATAAAACTTGATGTCATCATAGCCATACAGAGATTGTGTGTGTGTGTGTGTGTGTGTGTGTGTGTGTGTGTGGTAAAAAACCTACATATTTAACTCTCATGTCCAACTTCACAAGTAAGTTGCTTAAAACAGCAGATAATAAAATATAGGCTCCTCACCTCAATGACATCTGTGGTTGAAAGTGCTGCTCGCACATTACCATTTTCCTGCAAATTCGGCAATCGCAAGGTTTAATTGGAAAATCTTTTCCAAAAATACATAAATAATTGTTCATGGAGGCAGGAGGAGAATAAACGGCAAATCGAACTTGTCCAGAGTAGAGTACACAATCTGCAGACATACCACAAGCTTGTAGCCATATCTGAACTCAGTGGCCGTCCTTAGGACACGATGTTGCTTGATTGCAGTCTTCTGAATCTCCTTCTCATCCTGTAGATTAGTAACTGTGTCTCAGTAACAAAACAACCAGGCATGAGAATAAAGATAAAGCTGTACAAAGCAGGGAATGATAATTTTTGCTATGACACTGTTATGCTGCAAATAGCTAGCAATTGCCAGAATGTTTGAACAATAAAAATAGGCCTCCAAGTAAGAGCAACATCCTGAAAATTACCATGTTTTAATGTGACAAATAATCCGGGAGCAAAAGAATCAATCTCAAGAAAGACCAACATAGAATAAATAAATGTTGCTTGTTAAAGATAAATAAACAAGGAATAATCGAAGTAGTAGATTAATTTAAATCTTAATGGCAGTACGTATGTTGTAAAAGGAAAGTCTAAAACTTAAAGTTTCATGCTCAAAAAAGAAAAATACACTCATCAGTCGGTTGAAGGATTCTTAACCCAAATGTTAAGTTGTCACAAGGAAAAAAGTGGCATATGTGTAAAACTAGTAGAGATGATATGGACAATGTATGTCAAATAACTTGAGCACTTCCATCCGGGAGCAAAATGAAAAGGATTTAACTAGGCCTCTGTTTCATCTCCTGAAACTTCCATTAAATCAATCAATAATTAGCAATTTGTATTTAACCAGGTCTCTCTGTCTCTCTGTCTCTCTCTCTCTCACACACACACACGCATCATGGGCGTGCATCCTTCTCCGAGCTTTTTCAAGTGTTTGAGAATGTTTGTTTCATGGCATATGAATTTACATTCAATGTGTGCATATCCTACTATTGGATAGTGATGCAACCCGCCAAGGCATTTCTACTGGAACCTTGGTCCGAATCCAAAGAGTAATTTTACCAACGTAACCGTGTAATCATGCGCGCAAGTTATAACCTAAAGTTTGATTATTCCACGAACCTGGCCAGACGTGGTCCATTTGATTCAAAGAGCGAATGAAATAGGACATCATATTCTGCAAAACTCAAAATGTTTCTTTGAACGCTGTAGCTCTTTTCCATGATTAATTATATTCCCTGTTGGCTTGTTAAAATCATACATGGCAATACGAATGGCAATACACCACTTTCAAAGCTTTGATCTGGACAGTAACAGCAAGAAATGCTGCGCAGCAGCGACTCAGCATGAAGACCCAAAATCAAAACATGCTCATCAGCGGGTCACGTCCTTACTTGTTAAGCTTTCTTAGTTAGGAAACTTGCAGCATCCAAAGCATCGATTACATGCAGCATTGAACTTGGAACAAGAATTTTAACAACCCAAGAAAAAAGAAACTCACTCTGTAAATAACAGCAGCAAGGTTTCTGGCGAGAGTGTCCTTGTAAATGTACTTCCCCAGGAAATTATCTTTCGCCGCCACCATAATCTTGGCAGTGGTGCCGCCAGTTATCATACTAAGTGGGTACCAAAGATAAACCTGTAAAAGCAAGCAAAAGCCACCCTTTCACGCACAACACTCAAAGCCAGCACAATTTCTTTAAAAAAGAAGACGGCAGCTTGGACATTCAAACGAACATTGGCCATCCGAATGAAGATGACGAATCTGGGGTTGCCGTCGTCCTCGATCTTGGGCAGGGGAGGAGGCGGGGGCCTCTGGAACTGACGGGACTGCATGCCCCGCTTGCCCTTGGCCTCCACCACCAGCGACGGCTGGCCCCTCCGCCGCGGCGCGTGGCCGTGGGCGGGGCGGGAGGTGGTGGAGACGGAGTGCCTGGCCAGCCCGAGGGAGTCGTCGTGGGCTCGAGAGCTCGTCAGGGGAAGGCGGACCATGGCGTTCAGGGACATGCCCACTTCCATCTTTCTTCCCTTTTTTCTGGGTCTGGAAGCCGAGCGATGCTGTTGAAGGAAGTGGGTCGAGCCGATGGGGCGGCGTCGCCGTTCGCCGGAGCTGGAATTTCAGAGGTGGATGGCCAGACAGGTCATCGAGAATGGGAACTTTGTCCTATGAGGGTCGTGCTCTGCTCTTATCCACAGCAGTCGCAGAGAGAAGGGAAGGAGAAGGTGAACTTGGGGCCATCCACGTGGCTGCTGACAGGGACCGAATGGGCCCACTTCCCGGTCCCACGTGGCATTTTTTGGGCCAAGATTTTAGGGGGGTCTCGAGCACGACATAAAAACCTTAGTTTACACCATTCGCCTTTTGATTTAGATAAGAAGAAAGTTTTGCTCATCTTCTAACTTACGCATTAAATGCGTGTTGTTGATGAAATGATTCTTTTCTTCTTTGAATAAACAATTGAAAAGTTTTGTTGAGAAAAAGTAAAAGTTTAATAGGAAACCATCAGCTAATATGCATGCAATCCTACTAATAATGGGATTGAGGGGTGTAGTCAGAGAGTACCAAGTCCGGATTTGACCATCGTGCATACGGCACACACATGTACATAATATAGAGGAGTGAGAACCAAAAAGAAAAAATTATCACCACTAATATGTTCTAATAATGGTTAAATCCAAAGTAGTAAATAGCTAAAATTAACTTCACAAGAGTGAGAAAATATTGATGTGTATAAATTCAAGCGAAATTGACTTTAGTCAAAAATTCGATTTTTATAAATTATAACTTATATGTTGTTTTAGTGTGATACTTCCTTCTATTTATTAAGTTTCTTGATTATCGTCGGTGTTATGATATTAAAAATACTTTGCAATTTGAATGTGCAAGAGCAGGAGCTTTCACCAAATCTGTAAATACAAAAACCCTTGTGAAAGTATGGGCAAAGTGCACTAATGATCATTAGTAATTATCATTAACCAGACGAATTAGAAATAAGGGTACACCACATCCCTCTACAAGCCCAGACACCAATTTAACCCAAACAAGACCTAACCCAGCTCTCAAGACCCAAGAGTCAAACAAGCCCAACCCACGCTTGGGAATCAACCCCCTAAACACACCAACGCACACCCAGAAGACAGTCGTGGCCTACCCAAACAAATCAAGCAAATATTACAGCACAGCAGCTGTGCCTCTGCATTAATCCTCTAGTTAGCACATAAAGCTTGAACTTCAGCTGATAGGACTCTCTTTGCCTTGCAAAGAAGTGCTCCAAAAGCAATCCAAATGTATAATTAAGGGTGGAACTTTCTAACAAGACGAGGGGACACGACTTGAATCGATACAGACCAGAAAATTAACTTGAGAAACCTCGTTGGACATGACAAGAATATGTTTAACTCGGGAATAAAAACATAACTTCAGTTTGGTCCGCTTTTTCCAAGGATGAAAAGTTCGTAAAATATAGGCTGTTTTAGTAATGGATGAATTAGAAACACGAAACAGTGAGACCAGGTTACACGGCGACCGCCATAATCCTTGCTTGTACCATTACAACTTACAAAGATAGTTATTCTTTCTGAGTTACCAAGCAGAGAAAAAAACCCTTTTCATATTGTTACCTCAAGACAAGAAATTTGACGTCTATCAAGTTCCGAAGCTTAGCTCAAGGCCGGCAGGCCCCACCTTCTAATCGTTTTTATCTCAAATACAAAAAAAACAATAAATTGATTAAAATCATTACAGCAAGAGACTCATTTTTATCTCAAATTGATTAATCGTTTTTATCTCAAATATATTGCTTATTAAGTTGTGAAGTCAATCCAGTTAAAGCCAAAACTCAGGCTTTAGGAGCATTTCCAACAGGAAGCTGCAATGATGGGCTTTGAGTTCCAACCAAGAACCAAGCATCCCTTCTCTTCCACTATAGTGTAACCTTCACAGACCTTGAACTTTCCAAGCCATTGCTTGGCCTGCGTTAGCATTTTGATGGGCGCAGACTGGAACCCGGCTCTGCTCATCCTCCTGCGCCATTGGTCGATCCTCTCATGCCTCTCGACCCTCGCTGGCCCCTCGCAGCTCACGATGTTCTTGATTTCTTCAGCGAAGAAGAACTGCTCCATTTTGGCCCTCCTGGTGTCATACTTGGGAAGCATGGCATCTAAGGCATCGAAGATGGCAGAGTAATAATGCAGCGCCGCCATGAACCTCCCCAGGAAGAATGGCCCGTTATGGCTTGAGTCTTGCTCAACCAGGACCAGGAGCTTCGGTGAAAGCTTATGCAGAATTTGCAGGACAGAGTGCAGCGCTCCTCGGCTTTCTTTCACCACGCAGTGCAGTTGAAGGATGCTGTTTATGACTAGGACTTCGCCTTCTAGGAGACTGAAGTCCTCTGCTTGGAGGTTTTCCAAGTTGCTTTGGACCATCAAAAACTCGAAATTCACTCCCATGCCTTTTGAGTAGTGTTTTAGCTCGTCCCCAATCACTTGGAGGCCCTCTTTGCAATTCCCAACACCAGTAATCTTGAGGTGGCGGGATGATGAGCCTGGCCGTTTTGCTAGGCTGCTTATTAGGTTGCGCCACTGGTGGCCGTGACGCAGGCCTTGGGTCATGCCTAGGTCCACCACATGAATTGAACTCTCTCCCTCAAAGGCTTCCAAGATTGATTCATTCGCAATGAAGTGACCAAATTGGATGTATGGACAAATCTCATAGACGAGGCGAAGAGCCTCTTCTTTCTCGTTCGTCATCACCATCTCCCTTGCGCTTTGGCCATCGGCTCCAACAGCCCCTAGTGATTGAACCAACGCCAGGCGGTCAGCAAGGCCTTGCACAAAGCAAGATGCAACTCGCTGAAATGACGTTCCGAACACCAGAGCTTTAGAACTGAGCTCCAAAAGCAATGCAGAGGCGTGTGGCTTGTCACGACAAGCCACGGCCTCCGCACAAGTAATGAGTTGCTGGACCAGTTTCATCGCGTCTACATTTCCCTCCTCCTTAGTCTCGCTTTGGTCACCCCGCATGATGGCTGTTGCCGCTTCTTCCATGGCCTCGACCTCCAAGTACCTCTGGGTGTATGCCCATATATGATCCCTGAACTGAAGCTTAGGCAAGCTATTGAAGCTATGAGTCCACATACCACCGCAGCCACGAGACACAATTTCCTTACTCTCTATGGATTCTCCGTTGGATGGTTCTACCTTCAACCTCTTGCAATTTCTTGTGTCATCAGAGAAGGTCCCCGATACAGAGTTGTGGATGCTCTGTAGGCGGGACGTGGATGAAACTGAGTAACACTCCAGCGTCGAAAGGTTCAGGTCGAGGACATGGGATTCATCATCCTGATCTTCACCACAGAGTTCAGGTTGCAAGTAGCCTGGACTCATAATTTCACCAAACTCTGTACAAACTGTGTGAGGGAGGTTTACAAAGATTCAACGGTGGTCCAGGTTTGTTATATATAATGCTACGGATGTCTTTGGCGAAGTTCCCTTGTTAATTATGATGCATAGGAATGACCGCGCCAACGTTGTCGCACAATTAAAAATAAATCTTAGCTAGAAGCATGAAAAAAATATATTATGTCCTCCTAGATGGGGGCATATAGCAAGGCAGCATTGATCAATTGGAGAGAACGTTTTCCCACATGGAATTCCAATCATTTTGGAGTTTAATTTTATCTCCCTCGACTCAAAGCTTTGTCTAAGTCTGTCTTACTTATGTTGTCTGAACACGGCTGTCTTTTTTGATAGACAACGATTTTCTTATGTCCTGCAGCGGCTTATATTGTACTATTGTGATTTTCTTTTCACAAGGTCTCTACATTAAACTAAGCAAAAAGAACGAAATTTTCCGTAAAACTTTGTTATGAACCATAAAGTTTTGCCCAGTCATGTCTGCATTTCTTTTTGTTGTCTTCCTTTCATCGATTTTGCTCTGGTTTGTGAAAAGATCTGCAAGATGTAGCTGCGTTCCAATCATTTGATGCACTTTCTGTAGATCGTTACTATTATCCAGGTGCTGCCCTCGAATACCTGCCACCGGCGAATAGGTTTGACCAGTTCTTCAGGTGCTAACGTGCCTACTTTTTGCTTAATTTCAGGTAAGATGCATCAACCATATCCCTGAAGGTGCATCAACATTCTCGGAGCTACCCAATTTCCTGTACAGATTTCTGGTTACGCCAAGAAGTTGAATGAAATCAAATGATTAGAGCTACAAGTTGTTTCTATCTCAACCACATTAGAGTTTCTAACATTAAAGCAGAGAGGCAGAGAGACGAATTGCACTGCACTCATCAGATGAAAATTTGATAGTTTGAATAAAGGGGGTAACTCATCTGAAATCGCGTATAGGTCAAGAACTGGATCACCCGATAAATTATGGGTCCGTTCTCATATTACTTTAAGGGTGCGTTTGGTAATCATCATGTTCCCAGAAATAATTTCTGTTCAGAAACGATTTTTTTTTATTCTGTTCTCGGGAATAATTTTTGAGCATTTGAAGGCATTTGGTAACTGTCCAAAATTTATATTCCTAAAATAGAAAAAGAACGTAAATACGTTTGGTAATTGTACAAAATATTTTGAATTGTTTAATATTTCTTTCTCTTTTTTTTCTTTTTTTTTCTTTTCTTTTTTTGGTAACTATCCAAAAAATTTTGGACAAGAAGCAACTTTTTTAATATTCTTGATTAGAGCTACCAAATTTTATAATATTTTGGTAACTGTTTAAAAAAATTTGTTTATATTTTTATTCTTTTTTTTGTTTCCAGAAACAAGAAGTAACTTTTTTTTATTCTTAATTCTGTTTCAAAACTATTTCTAGGAACAAAATTTGTTCCCGGAAATAAAAAATTTACCAAAACGGATTTCTATTATTTTTTTGTTCTCGAGAATAAAATAATAGAATCAGACATTGTTTGGCCGATTATCAAACAGCCCTTTGCTTTTTCTTAGTCCAAATATGTCGACAAGTACTAGTCCTCCCAACTATGTTTAACGTAACTGGAGTCGAGAGTTTCGAGCACTTACTGACTTCCTGACATACAGAAGGAGTCGAAACCTCATTGGACTACCTCCCATCCCTAACCTGAGCTAGGAAAAACAGAAAAATACAATGTTGTTTGCATATTAACAATGATCAATACGAGCAAGAAGAGGGCAGAAAAATACAAACC